TAATAGCAAGATAAAATTAAGTTATTTTATCTTGATAATAGCAAGTCTTTAGTTTAAATGAAATTTCTAAATATTGTAGCTGGGGTAAAGATCTGGGAGTAAAGAACTTATATGGGATGCACAATTGTAGAAGACAAACGTCTGTGTAAGCAGTGAAGATTCTAGAATTAATTTTCTACACCGAACACTATTTTGGTGTTTCTCACACTACGAGATTGTTTTTATTACCAAGAATTATTAATGTATTTCTCCCGTTCATTACCATGTCTCCGTGGCGCAATCGGTTAGCGCGTTCGGCTGTTAACCGAAAGGTTGGTGGTTCAAGCCCACCCGGGGACGCTCTTTTCCTTTTCGTTAGAATTTTCAATTTTCTGTTTGAAAATTTACGCTATTATCATAAAGACTAGAAAGCAAATTTTTACTTCAATTTTGCCACGATTTTGATACCCAATAGCTTGAGATGCAAACATTTTCTTAATCTTGTTTTTGTTCCGTGCAGTCTTCACTTCAGTTGTCCTGCATTATGGCTGATTTTCTAGGGGATTTTAAATCTTGCAAAATCAAATTACAAAAATATGTTGCTTTCGTTCCAACGAAAAAATGAAGATTTCATTACCGTAAATCCTCGAATTAGCCCCCTGGGGGCTTATTTATTTTTGATATTTTTGGACGGGGGCTTATTTGAAAGGGGGGCTTATACGAGGGTGGGGGGCTTATAAAATTATTGTAGACAATAAGAAGATATTATTAAAAGACCTTGCTTATTTTAGTAGGAATTTCTTTATGAGCTTTATAATTAATTACTACCAAAAGTACGAATTTGTCGTGGTAATTCAATAAAACGCCATAGGCAACCTCAGATGGCAAAAACCGTCAAATTGAGGGGTCCAATTCGAGAATATACGGTAGCAGTGGGGGCTTATTCGAGGGGGGCTTATTGACAGTTTGTAGTTTTAGAGTGAGGGCTTATTCGAGGGGAGGGCTTTTTCGAGGGGGAGAAGGGGGCAACTCGAGGATTTACGGTATCTACTAAAATTGTATTCATTTTGGTTACTGGTCAAACAATGATAGAGAAACTATAATTCTTGCTTTGAGTGAATTAAAATCAAATTTAATCGCTTCTGCCTGTTCCGGGAAGTCTGTGAAAAAGAGATACCTTCGTGTCTGCTACTTTGAGGCCGAAAATAAATCGCCTTCCTTCCCCTTTATTTTTGGGGATTTTAGATGACCTCGTTCCTTGCTCCTGCATTTTCCAACGCTATTAGATATGTAGTGAAGTTAGATATGGAAGATCGAACTGCAGTCTTCCTAGGTCGGACTATAATCCTTGCCAAAAAATAGTTTTAACACCACAATAATTTAGTTCCAAAGTTGGCAACCCAGGGCAGTGGCGTCGCGTGACCATTCTCGCTGGGGGGGGGGGGTGTAAGAGGTGCAAAACCATATTTTACCGACAGAAATTATTTTGTTACATTAATATTCTGCTATAAATTTAATTCTACCGACAAGTTCTCTGAAAGTTGGGGGGGTGTACACCCCCCCACCCCCCCGCACGCTACGCCCCACACAGGGATTTAACTACTTCCCCGAGTTATCAACGTTGCCGCTAAATTCTTCTCGCTCTTTCCCCATACAATGCTGGTTCCTTCCTCCATTACCCTCCATTGATAGGATTTTATGCGTCCAATTGAAATTTAGCAACATTGTAATGGGGGAAGGAAACAACTTCAAAAAAGCTGTTTAGATTTCTTGTAGGTGTCCTAAAATTGTTAGCAAGGATTGTCGGCAGGGCCGCCGAGAGATTTCGGAGACCCCCGGGGAGATAAGGGGGGCAAAACGGAAAGACGCTCTTTAGATTAGCTCAAACACACTTCAGAATATTGATTGCAGACATTTTCTTGCAATCGTTTAAACGTTTTACTATTTTTTAGACATTATTTTAATTCGTTTTGTTAATTCAATTCTTAAAATGGAAATCAATATTTTAAGGAGCCCCCAGACCTGGAGGCCCTGGAGTAATTTGCCCCCTCTGCCCGCCCTCCCCGGTGGCACTGATTGTTGCTCCGTAGAACCTATCAGTCAGCTCTATCTCCCCTTGCAGTACTGCTGTCATGCAGAACGCCATTTCAACCCTGATGCAAATGTCAATGTCAACTTTGTTTTTTGTTTTCTCCCATTGCAGTGGATGTCTTTGAAGAGGCCCTGAGGCTTGATGACGTCTCATTCAGAAAGTTATATGGAATGCAGAAACCAGAGCTAGATGGGAGTGACGTAGTTATTAATTGCCGTAGTGGTGTAAGAAGCCTCACTGCTTTGAAGATCGCACGGAATTTAGGCTTCCATAGGTAAGAAACTACTAACTTTGCTAAGTATTGCGCTAGAATTTACCCAATATTGCACTAGCATTAGCCTTCCTAAATTCTATTTTTTGTTGTATCCACAAGGCAAAATATTCGGAGTTCTAGAGAATGTAGGGAATCGCATTTGCAGCTTGGATTTTTGGAATCACCCTAGTAGTCTTCGGGCTCACTGAAAGGCCAGTTTTTTCACCATTGTGAACGAAACATTGTTGCCAGAAAATTTATTATTTGGGGATTTATCCAAACATCTTGGGAGGTTTTGGGTTTTTGAGGTAAGTTACCTTCGGCAGCATGCTGGTACTGCCGATCATAAAAGCAAGAAGACAGAAAATGAGGGTCGATCCATGAACAGGTCAATAACCCAATCATCCAGACATAAATTGCTGAAAATAGCAGAAACTCTTACCGCAAGCATACCCCATTCCGTTCTGTTGATCATTGCTTTGAATTTGAGTAAAGGCTACATACATTTTAAAGGCTACAGGCAAATTGTAAGGGCGACTTTGAGATAATTCAGAGCTTTTAAAAGCAATGGAAAGCATTTCTCCAAAGGAGATAGATCCAGCTCTAGATATATCACAGTTATCAAGGTGCATCAGATGTTGATGCTGTCAACAATGTGTTTCGTAATCATCGAACTTAAGATGTACCAGGAGAATTAAAGAACAATTCTGTAACACTCTGGAGCATTTCTGGCAGTTTAAAGATACTGCTGGTGAACCAAAGTTTTGGTAACATTGCACGGCTTGCAATAGCCTTGTATTTGCTACCCTACTCGAATGTAGAATTTGAGATAATATTCTTCCAAGAAAAATTATATTAAGACCAAACTGCGAAATCAATTGGCAAGTCCAATCACAGTCGCATTTGTTCGTATAGATGGAATTTTTCAATGGAAGGGTGAACAATTGTTATTTTTTTAAAGTTAGTCACGAGTTGAAAAGGGAATTCAATGCTAAAGTGCTGATCAAATGAAATTTTATCAAAATTAATTTCACGATGTATCTTGTAGAATTTAATTTCTCTAAGTGTTCTTATTTTACTTGTATTTATTATTCAAATTCGGGGTTAAGGTTCATGTTTTTATTCTTGTATTAAACCTTTGTGGACTGCGGTTGATGCCCTAATAGAGAAGTAAGTTCTGTAGTTTGGGTTTTTAGACGAACGTTTGTCCCTTGGCCCTTGGCTCTAAGTGCTTTGGGTTGGCTTTAACATCCATGTTCGGAATGCTCTTCCACGCTGTTCTCTTCTCCAATCCCTCCCTCCCCTATGGTATAAAACATAGTGTGTTTTTCGAATCCTTGTTATTGTTATTAACCCTTTAGAGGTTAGGGCTCCTTTTTATCACCGAATACTTTCCACAATTCTTTTTTGTTGTCTTTAGGATAGACTCGGCACTTTTAGTAAGTTGTGTTTCTCTCCCCCTCTCATACCTTAGGGAGCTACTGAAGGACTTGTGCATCGGCGCCCTGGTGGGGAGAAGTGAACTTTTCCTGTCCTATCCCTGCCCGTTTAAAAGTTGCTTTGTAATTTGAGTCCATCAAGTTGTATTTATAGGTTAAGGGCTTTATATTGGTTAGGTGGAGCGACTTGTTTCGATACTCCAATGGCCAACTATCGCTTCTTTTGATGAGGGAATGTAGCCTCAAGACCTGATTTGATAAGGGATGTAGGAGCTATTTTATTTTATTCATAGGAATTCATTTGTTGATGTTCTTTTCAGATCACGACATCTGCCAGGAGGGTTTCTACTTTGGAAGGACAGGTTTGCTGATTTTGTGACTAGAATGAACAGTTAAAGGACGAAAAATCTCAAAGATGTAGATTAATTTTCCATCATTCTTACCAAATAAATAGTCAATTTCTACGTTTTATCGAAGTCTTAATTTCCTATACAGCTATTTGGCTATTTTTTGTGCCAACCAAGAACTATGGCCTTGTTATATTTTTTCCTTCGCTATCATGCTTAGAAAGCGTCAGTTGATGGAATTAAGCAGTTACATTAAGTAAGAGATATAGCCGATAATTTTTTAATCTGTAGGGGGAAGAATATATGAATGTAAAAGTATTCAAACTTTTGCTTTTTTTCTTTGTTTACCAACTCTTTTAAACGCAATGATACATCTCTGTACATAAACCATCTGCTTGGTTGAGGGGCTTCGTCTTTAAACTGCAAACAACAGCCATATGGAAATGTATAGAAAATTAGGATGTGTGAAGTTGGTTTTGTATAGAAACGTAAAGTATATAAAAAGACCCAAAATAACCCGCGCTTAAATTCTCGTCCTCAAAAGCTCATTGTTAAATGTACGGAGCCAATATAAAAAAGTATGCAAGACAAGTTTCCACATCAGGTTCCTACATCAATGCCGAAAACGAAAGTGAGTGGATGAGTTCAGTTTTAAGTGTGAGCCAAGGAATGAGCCAAAGCAACAAGACAACTGTTATGCTCCACCCATCTTCACTCAAATAATCCTCATAAAAGCGGCCTTGTTTTTGAGTTTCAACTGCTCGCACGGTTAATATGTTCAAAAGTCAAATTAGCGATAAGAGTTGACCACATAATCTTGACATAAACCAAAAGCCTTTGAAGAACTGTTACAGAAATCCAAAAAAAGGCCGTAGCACTCTTTTTAGAGTTTTGGATCTAACTTCATTTTTATGCAATTGTATGAAAAGTAGAACAAGGCGCACAAACTGATAGGGGGGGAGGCACAGATAAATAAAGATATAACTTAAATTGAATTCTCGCCTTTTATGAATAGCTAAAATAAAATTTGCATTAAACAAATTTTTGTGCAATTACTAGCGTGGCAAAACTGCTATTCTATATTTTTAAAAGCATAGTTTTGAAGCACAAGTTCGAAGGTTTAGTTGCATAAACAAAATTTCGTAGCATCAAAAAGACAATTTTGCTGTAAAACATCCTTGAATATATATATACAATATATCTAAAATCGTAATTGGATTTGATATATTTCTGTCTTTGTGGCATTCAAGATGTTTTCATTTTTAGAGGTCCAGCAAGGTCATTTGCTGATGGCTTTGTGGCAAGTTTAACCAAATAATTTTGGCCTAATTAGCGCATCTCAGGTCAAATGCGCCAATATTTTGCTTCTTGGGCAATTTTTATCGATAACATAAATGTCAGAATCCTTGAGTCAATAGAGATCGCACATAAAAGCTAGACAATAATAATAACAGTTACAAATTTTATTTTTCTCGATACAAATCCGTTGAGACTTCAAAGATTGTTGATAATAGCTCTTTTAAAAAAAAGTCCTTTTACTACACATCGATATGTCTATGCAAGAATGATTACCCTTCAGGTTAAATTCAATTCATATCTGGTTTTGCTGAAAAAACCTGATCATCTGGCTTTTTTAGATGCAGAATGCAACTGGATACTTCTTTAATTTTCAAGGAGATGAAGATATTTTGGTGAAAGCTTTTCATTTTCTCATTTTTGATTTTCATTCTCACTTTCACATGACTTCTCCTTCCAAAAGAGGCTCTATTGTTTTACATGAAGTAGTGGCGCTATTGAGAAAGAACGAGAATTTTTGTGATTTTGGGGTGCGAAGGTAATGCCCTCGTAGCATCAACTTCTTGGTCAAATTTTGCCGTCTTGGTAGCTGCAGAAAAGTTTTAGATTTCTTAAAGATAAAAGAGCAATTCTTTGTGCTCTCAAGGTTTCTTGAGGGTCAAGGGATGCGGTAGAATTGCCTTATGGCGGATCGATGTTTGCGGAACCCTGAAGACAAACACATTGCCAGTTCGACGAAAGAAAATAGTTCAAGAAAAAGACAAAGAAGGTAAGGGCTGCCATTACGATTACTTTAGCATTTTTTGATTGAATGTATTGATGAAAAAGTAGAATTTGGCTAGCTAAAATCCATAAAAGATGACATAAATAACGCGTTAAAAACCTTTGTTTAACCTTCTTCGTCACAGCCCCGTCTTCTTCTAACAAAAGCCCATTTCCGAATTTAGGCCCTGTGGACACTTAATTTAGGGTGAAGAAAGACAAAATAGAATTCTTGAAAGTTTATTACCTGGTTTTTTCTTATTATGTCTATAAGTTTAATTCACGTGTTTTACGCTCACCATTCATTTCAAGATGAGTCAAAATTAAGACATGTTTTTATGATGAGGCTCCTATTGTGACATAGCCTAGCGAGAGGGTCGCGCAATCCGTCGGGATTATTGAAATACCCGACAGCGCCATTAATGCGCGTGGACCAACCGTCTATACGCGAATATTCCGTCAAGACTTTTATCTGATAGAGAGCGTGTTCATTGATTTCTAGTTTGGGATGTCGCTGACTCTTTTTGTGTTTAGTTGGATTAATTCTGATTTGATATGAAAAAAATTCAGTTAATCAATTAGCCTAGTTCTCTATTTTCATTTGCTGTTGTTACCTACGTAAGCTATCTATTCTAGTGAGCAATGCCCATATGCTATAGCAACAGTTCATCAGGAAAGCCTCTCTTTATTTCAGCATGCAGTTTTGGGGCTGTTATTTTGATATTTCATTGAACAACATGAAATGTTATATTTTCTCATGCAAATTTAAAACAAGTTGCTGTGCCAGTTTATTATATTCCAGCCACTGAGTTGACCCAAACTTTGCAAAAAATGTTTAAAATACAGAAAAACTAAGAAAGAAAGACTAACCAATGAATTGTAATCTTCTTAACTTAATAATGTTTTATTGAGAAAATTTCTCTGCATCGACATTTTTTGTGTCTGCTGAGTCTATAGAACATGCTTACAAATAATGTATTTTTAATTAAGCTTTGTTAAAATGAGAGTATGTGAAAGGATTATTGAAAGAAGCTAGGTGCATGGTATTTCTTTCAGGCAATGTACCTATGACGAAGGTAAAGTTTATAAAGTTGAATGAAATTAATAAGAAGTATTGTTTTTTTGCTAGTAAGTCTATGTTTTTGTTTTAATTGCTCAAGATAATAGTAATTTTCCCCAAAACCCAAACTGCAACTGTTTTTGAATTTTTTGGTTTCATTTGTTACCTTCAGGTGTTTGAATATATCATAATGCTTGAGTTTATTATACATATCCTTTTAATAATTCTACCAGAAATATTAGTTTAGGATTAATGATGTCAAATGTTTAAGAAATTTTTCACATTTCAAAAAGTATCCTATGCTCAAATAAAGTTACCATTATGTTGAAGCAAGAGATTTTATTTTAATAATGGTTGAAAGTTGGGTTGATTTTATGTATATTTGGTTGGTTATTTTACATTAACATCTGAGACATATACTTTTGGGACATATACTTTTTAGACATTTATGTAGATATTTAGTTGCAACAAGTTCTATTTCAAACCATAAGTAAATATTAAGCAGTGAGATATTCAAATTAACATATTTTTAGTTAATAATTACTTTTTCAGTTCAAGAATTTTTTAAAGCATGTCATGTAGATATTTTGATGTTGCAAACAACTTTCAATCCGTAAATAAAAAAAATTGTGCCTACAAAAATTTGCTTTTGAATGTTAAGACAAAATGTTAGTGTTTCTACTTTTCCTTCTGTGCTGTTTACCTTCACAGTTCCCATTTATTTTAACTTTATAGTATTTTTGTATAATAAAGTAGAGGTTTTTTGTTGTTAACTTTAACATTCCATCTGCTTCACTTAAGTCTTTTGTCAACTGACACTAGGGGCAACAATCAAAGCTTAAATTGTCAAAGTATTCTTGTTCAAGCCGCATATTCTTTTGACCTGAACATATGATACATTTTCAAGCCAAATAATGCCAAAAAGTTATTTAGTCCATTCGGCTTTCTGAAGTTCAAATGATGTTTAATTCTTGTAGCCCTTTTTGTAATAGGATTAAATGACTCATGAATGGGTGATCCCAGTTTCCTTGTTTTCAAGTTATATTAGAAAACATGTATCTGCTGTGGCTCAATTGGCATCTGTAAGTTGTTTATCACTGAAATGAAACAAAATATTGTAGATTAAATACACCTAGTCAAATGTCAAACTGTGGCCCTGCCTTTTATATTAGTGGAAATCTCTTAACAGAAATTTTCAACATGTGTATAGCCTTAACATTAAGCTTGTGATAAAAGTGAATTTTAGCAAGGTGGTAATGTTTTTTGTTTGCCCTCGTGATTTATTTAAACTAAGATGTGTGGATGTTTTTATCAAAATGGTATATTGGTATTACATCTTTCCAGTAAGATGTTTTCATGAAATAGGCTCAAAAAATATTTTAATTGTATATAGGGTTGCGCAAATGATTTGAATATTTAAATCCATTTTGTGGCCTTCTTTGCATTTCTTGATGTCAAAGTATTTGTGTCAAAGTTTGTTTCCATTGAAAGCAAATTTGCGTTATCAAAATAAATTTATTTATGAATCATACTTTTTTCTAGTTTCTATTTATATTTGGTCTTTTTGGAACAAGCTAATTTCCTTGAGGAATTATTAAATCTAAGAGGCCAGTAAAACTTTATAATTTCAGCTCAACTTTAAAGAACCCTTGTAGAATGAGATCTGGTGCTTGTAATATATGTTTAAAAGATTTAAAAATTTTATTATTTTATCAAAAGTTTACATTCTCTTATCTTTTATTTTATCCATGTTACTGAGTATAGATTTACAAAGCATCTTTGAAGAATGTCAACTTAGGATACATTGTGAAAGCAATAGCATTATGAATGTTTGTTTTTCAGCTGTTCCTTAAAGACTCATTGCTAACAACGAGCCATTGGGCTATGCAAGCATCCCATAATGCATTTTTAGACTGTCTAAAATCAATTTTGGTTTATCCGTAGAATATTACTGTCATTGTTTGGACTGTCGCCACACTCGCAAAGCCCCATTGTTAGCAATGAGTCTTTAAATTTAACTGCAAATATAGTTGCAAGGTTGCACTGATCTAGTACACCATTATTTTCAATGCTTTATGTTTATTTTGTGCTATTTATATTGTACCCCTAATAACTATTACCTCAATCAATAATATGTTTGTTATTTTCCTTTATTGAATAACAGGGCATGTGAAAATGAGTTTTCTTTTTAGATGAATGAACAAAGTTTGGGTATTTTATCTAGTTGAAAAATAAAAAAATTCCCTCAAACTTGTCAATTGTGAGTTAAAATGATCTGTCTGGGCTATGCTGCCCCTTGCTTCCCCCCTTTTGTGTTCAGTCTCTAACTCAATCAAGCATTGTGCAAGAGTACCTAGCTCATGCTATGAAATAGGAGCATGCTATGAAAAAAGAAGAAGGCCATGCCACGGAAATCAAAGACTAAAAGTAGTAGTTTTTCGTCATTAATAAGGTGTCTCTGCCTCTTTTGAACCCCCACATCTACACCCTTTTTATTTTCAAGATAACAGCTTAAAGCAACATATCGCTTTATCATACTTTGGCTTGCCAGTATAAAACATGAATGAATTATGCACTATATCACCGATTTTTCTACAGAGTCGATTAAGTTTCGAATAAGTCGTACTGACGTTCATGGATAATTCTTTATCTATGCGTTGCTTGCAATAAGCGGTTTTCAGGTTCAGCATTTTCTCCTGAAATGAGGTTGTCTATATGACACAAGATAACGAACCATTTGAAATCTATTTATTTTCATTTGACGTCACTGATCAAAAAAGTATAAGGCGTTTTTGAGTAGCTGTCGCATTCCATGGTTGGCTTTATAATGAAGGGAAGTCGTGTGCGAGAGTTTCGATATCTTGCGGTAAGAACGATGCGCTTTATTTTATAGAACGAAGTATTATCTGTTACGAAGCATTATATATTACGAAGTATAAGAAGCAGGGAAATTTGGCCGCTTTGCCTGTTTTTAACCGTGATATTTTGGCATGGCCTACAAAACATTGAAGTTACAGTGAGTCAGGAAGGGTCATTGGGGGTAAGGAGAGTGCGGGAAGGGGGCAGTGTCCGAGGTAACGGAGAAAATAGAAGTGCCAGAGAATTTTTCAGCAAATCACATATGCATCATATAAGCATGATAATGGTTTTTTGTGAAAAAATCAAGTTTATAAACGAGTTTATAGTTTATAAAGCTTGATTGACCTATTTTTTATAAGGATTATGCACCATGTGGCTTGAGCAAGCCAAATCTTTTTGACAACGCCAAGCATTTTCTTTCATTTTAAGAATGTATGGTACTGCGTCAAGCCCAGGTATAACATCAGAAAGTCTGGATACAATATTGCCTTGGCTTAATGGGGCAAGGTCATTCATATTCCATTGAAAATGCTCCGCAATCAGTATCTTAACTTACGTTCAGCCAAGCAGTTGCAAACAAGGAGCACCTAGAATGGGCTATTTATAACAATCATAGCAGCTCTATTCAGTAATATCTTTAAGGTTTTTAATTTAGTTGATCCTACGACATTCCCAACAGAGCAAAAGTAACTGAAATGGAGCTCCACAATACAATTCGTTGGTGTATATTCCCCTCAGTATATAAGTGATTTTTCCATAAATATGATTATTCATCTTTGATCGTTGCCGTTTTCTTGACACTATTCAAGGAAAGCTTCTTATCCCGTAACAATTTCTCAAGGCATTGACAACAGCATCTATTTCTTTTATGCTAGATAAAGAAAATTATATAGCTGTATCATCAGAAGAAATTGTCGATTTTGCCTTTAATTAAAATTTATCATTAACTGAATCAAAAAGAGAAGCGGCCAGGCAAAAATAAAATAGAAGGCATCAACCACGAGGTACCCGTATTTCGATCTCAATGAGATCGGTTTATTCTGTGATCGGATGTGTCGCCGTTGACCTTGCAAAACTGCCTGCGATTTCTTCAGTATGAACTAAACCACTGATGCTCATGACCTTCGATTTCGTAGTTACGTATATGATTTTCGACTGTGTCAAAGGGGTTTTTGGATCAATGAATATTCTGGCAGTATATTTCCCTCTGACATTATTTACGGACCAATTGTTTGTGATGTTAAGTAAACAAGGGTCAACTGAATGCAATTTACGGGATGGCCTATTATGAAAGTCTCTTCTATTATGGCTTTTCATCTTTTAAACATTTTTCGTCCATCGAATGACAAATAGATTTTTCGGGTAGATTTTACTGGGTAGATTTCCTTAATATGCTAAGTAAAGGTAAAAACATAATCAACCATTAATGCTTAACTTGAAATTACTTATTTTATTTTAGCGCACAAGCCCAAAAAGGAGAAACAACAGAAAAGGTTGAGCAAGAAATTTTGCCATTAACAATACCACAGGTTGTTGCAGAACCGTTAAAGAGGAATAAAGAGGTAGAAGGACTAGTTGACTGTGGTGTTGACAATAGCGAGTTGCTGAAACAGCCTGTTAGGGTCACTCGTAGTCAGTGGAGGCGTTCTGTTGCCAGGCAACGAGAGCTTAGTAGCTCGAGTGACGTAGATATAAACTATATACACAGTTCTAACCCGGGGAGTCGGAGTACAAGTCGCGGCTCAAGCCCCGTTTTTAGATTAAGGGAAAGTGCTTTAGTCGACGAGGCATTGCGAAACAGTCCCCAGTTGGTTGTACGCCGAGCACGTAGAATAAATACTGCTTTTACGACAAGTGGTGAACGTGCGTCAAGCAGGTCAAGTAGAAACACGAGTCCGGAAACATTGCCATTTGAAGAATCCGGCCCGGTAACTACTAAACATAATAGAAAAGAGCCCCCGGAATCAGATCGTGGTAGGGTCCGAAAAAGGATCAAGAAGACCAATAAGCAAAGTGAGTCGGAGAAACCTTCGTCAGGAGAAATAAAAGGATCCGCTATTTTGACCAATTCACGAGATAAAGATTTGACAGGCGACACAAAATCTGGGGATCAAGTAGCAAGGACATCGACTGTAAAATCCTCCGCCGAACATTGGTCTTGTAATTACTTTGCCCAAGATAAGGGACATCTCTCTGGAAAAAAGAGAGTAAGATCGACATCACGTACCCAAGAGGCTTCTGGGAAACGCGAGAAAAAAGACGAAGGCACAGAGACGCTTCTGAGTAAATCAGGTTTAAAATCAAATTTATTGAAATCAGCCAAGACGGGAGGGCGACTGTCTAGGACAAGAAACTCCCAAGCCCAGGCGGGAGAAAGGAGAGGCACCACGGGGTCTTGCGCAAGCAGCAGGTAATGTCTCTGAGTACCATATTTCCAAATTATGTCTTGAATCTTCATTCATTGGCTATGTTGGTTATGCTTGAAGTTTCGTGGAGGGATCTTCCTTGCCAACATTTGTTGGAACACCATAGTATTCAAGGTTGTTTGTCACAATATGGCCGGTTTTTACCACATCGACAAGTTATTGGGGCGGCTTGTAAAGCCCCTACCCCACGTCTTCAAGTTTAGATTCAATTTTTTAAGTAATGTTTCAGTGTTCTGACTATATTGGAAAGGAGTGAGCCTAATACACAGCTCTATCCACAAGTCTCCTTCGTGGCGGCTTGTGTTGTTTTTTCGTATCTGCCTCATCTAGACATTAGTGCGAAATACCTCCAGGACCTTGACATTAATTGTAATTCGAGGACCTTGCCATTTCAAAAGTAAGTTCATACATTGTAATGAAGTGTCCTTGTTGAAAAATTATAAAAGTTAACGTATATGAAAGTTTATTGAAGTACAAGGTCGACAAAGGATGCTGAATTTTAGCACGTCAGCCGTGGGAATTTGCCAGGGGCTTACGCTTTCACGATACTTTAAGCTGTAAAAAGTCCTTTGTTGCTTTGAACACGAAGGTGAAGAAACAGCTTCGTTTCGAAAAAACATTGTAGTTTTGGTACCTTGAGATCTAAATCTTTGAGCTTTGAGGATTTTTTTTGAAAATTGCTTCTGCGGCAGATGTCCTGGTGTAAGAATATAAGCTCTTTGCTGGCAGTTTAGGGCATTTGGGTTCCTATATGTGGTTATCGAGGAGGATATTGTCTATAGGTTTTTTCTAGTGTTCTTTCGAATTTGGTCAGCTTTTCTTTTCATTATTGATTATTTATTAAGCTAGCTACATATCCCGTCCTATGCTCGATTTCCAAAATTGTTCTGAATAACATGTTTTTCTCCCGTTCATAATTTTCCCGCCTTGTTGATGGATGTTTAGCTTAACAAAGGTGCGTGTACGTATTGCCCATAGCGTAGCAGTGACGCTTTGAGGAAGTTGTTTGCTGACAAATTGCAGGCTGCGATCAACCAAAGTCTATGAGATGCTGTTGCCTTCATTCTCATGAGCTCTTCAGGTGTCGCTTTGCAAGAGATCAGGATTATTTCGAAATTATTTGTTGTGTTGCAAAGAAGCCTAAGGTTTTCGTTTAAGACTTTCAAAGTAGTTTGGTATAAAAATCTGTAGATCCACTATCAAACTTTAATATGTCGAGAACACTAATTTTTTGTAAACTTCTTTGTTTTTCTGAAATTATGGGTTAGCTCTCTTTAATTATTATTATTTTTTTTAACAGACGCAGCAGCCGACGTTCTAGGGCACAGCAGGGGCCTTCTGCCATGGCAACTGATGAGTAAGTGACTTTTTTGCCTCTTTGTAGTGTAGCTTGCCTCGTTCGAAAATTATTGAAGATTGATCGTTATGAACGAAGAAACATTGTTATTTTCAACTTGCTCGACGTGTTTGTCTTTTCATCACACTCTTTGCATGCACCACTTTATTCGGAGCAGCAGTGGCAAACGTAAGGGTGTCTGTGGATGCAGTTTTCCGTTCCCTTCTCTCAGTGGTTGAGAAGAAAAATAGACCTTGACACTAACAATACAAACAACATGGTTGCTTGGTAACCAAACCCCCTTTCCCTACTGCAATTGGTCAAATGTCTGCCATCGAATCTGAATCTAAGGCGTTTTTACATTAGTCACGTTATTTATGTATCATGTTTAAAAGTGATCTCTTGACGCTGTTGCATGTAGAAATGGTTGCCAATGACAACCCTGTTTTTTATTTGGTTTCTATTTTTTTAGTGGTAGAGCCAGCCAGCAAGCAGAATCCGCCGGTAAGAACTGTCATATCTTCCTAACATCGTGAAAAAGAAACCTTCGCTGGCACTGAACAAGTATTACCAATTTTATTCACACAATCACAAGCGTTTCATCCTGCATTCAATTTATCATAGCAATGTTAAAACAACGGACAATGCTACCAACAACTAATAAAATGCTTGTATCATCTTTACCTGCATATTTTGTTTTTCAGTCACTACAGTGGTTTCTCCCGTTTAGTAACATTTTGTCTCCTGATTTGAGCTTATGGAATTTATAGTTAGAAAAGAAATGTCTCCTTTCCTCGAACATTGAATTTTGAATGCAAATAATTACAAAGCATGTTTTCTGCAGATAATGAACCAAGAGTGGACGAGCCAATACCGGGTTCAAGTGGTACGTAGTTTTAAAGAGGAAGTCCTTTGTTGCCTCGTAACGCGACATTAAGTCCAGTCCAGTGATGCAATTGAGCTATTTGTATTTTGAAGGTTTGGGTCTTTGACAGGTTTGGGCTATGATGGGACTCAGCACTGAAAATATTAGATTACATAGAAGTTCTTATATCACTAGGCCAGCGTCGAATGAGCGCCCCCCCCCCCACCTTCGAATAAACGCCTATCCTTCGAAGAAGCGCCCTCCTAAAAACAGTCGAAACTTTGTGGCTGCTTACTCGAGAATTTACAGTGTAATACGCAAAACGAATATGTTGAGTTAGTTTTAAACGACAACACAAGTGGAAAATCTTTATGAATGTAGCATAATTATATACTTAATGCATTATTTATCCGTTAAATGTTCCTGGGAACAGATTTAAGTTGCAAGTTGGGAGATTGAATCTCCTTGAGGAGAAAAGCTGTTCCATTCTAATCAGATTAGCTAATTTCGTATTACACACTTACCCGAGATTTCCGATCTGTTGAAGTGTTACTTAAAATACAGATGATCTTATTATTCTTCAAGAAGGTCTGACAAACTTCATTTATGAAATTATCAGGATTGTTTATTTGTCATTCCTTAGGATCACGTGACAGTTCATCAAACCCAATGGAAGACCTCGAAATGAGCAGATTGCAAGGTAAGGCCAATCATTCGATCCTGACTGAAATTGAAACTCTCTAATTTGCTAATTATTATGACTGTAGAAGTAACGGCATAGTTTCTCCGTATAGATAATCGATTTTTTATTAATTTTGTGTACTTTCATTTATAAGCAAGGAGTTGCTCCTTGATCTCTGAAGAAAAACGAGCAAAGATACGAAAATATCTGCCCCTCCAAATCTCCATCTTCCCTTTCGTGCGGCCTTTGATTTAGCTTCTGATTACGAAAGAAAATAGTAACCCTCAGTTTGGGCCTTTTATGCATTATATCTTAGTTGTTCATTATTGCTTCAACTGATTTACAGTAGAGCTCACATAGATTGGACGATAAAGAACGGATAGGCAGGGCTATGATCTGCTACTATGGTTTCAAACACCATTTTCTGCAGTTATTTGAACACATTTTCATGCCCAGATCTATTTATTTGGTAATTTATTTGGTACTGTATTGTTTTTTGTTGATTTCAATGAGCCATGCCTATCATGCTCACATTAGCATCGTCTTTGCAATCTTGTTTTGTAAAATGTTCTCTTATGGACTGAGTAAATATAAAACTATATGTGCTCATTCTTCGTACATGCAAAGAAAGCTATTTCTACGTTGTTTTTGCATCACTTTCACAGAATTCACAACTTTCTCTGTTGAATTACAGGTGCTATGAAGTATGTATACCTCGTTTAAACTACTGTCAAAACAGGACTTAATTGTTTGTAAATTAATGTTTTTATCCACAGCTCTGCTGGAAGCGAGAGGTCTTCCATCTCATCTGTTTGGTAATCTAGGCCCTAGAATGCATCTGCTGCTGCAGCGAACTTTCAGTAGTTCTGCAGGTAAGTTGTCCTCCTTATCATTGCTTCTTAACCAGTTTAACCCTTAAGTAATGCTGGTTAATCATTCCCTGATTGGCTTATGCGAACTTCGACTCTCATTTAGATTCAGCTTAGGTCTGCTGTAACATTGCAGTTTAAATAACAGTTTTCGCTTGAATCCCTTTAATCTTATATATTTAGCTGAACAGGACAGGACAGATGCTGGGATTTTTCGACATATTCTTATCCTAGACATATTTTAATCCTTTTAGAGTCGAATATTTTTTTTGATCAAACTTGTTAAACAAGTCTTCAACTGGATTGTTTCAAATCAACTATCGGTTACAAATTTGTAGTAATGAGATTTTATCTCTGGCAGCTTCGAGAAAAAGTATTGAATAGTTAAGGATATAAAAACAACAGTTGAAAGAACTTGTTGCTACAAGTGTTCCTTCAAAACATGCATTGTTTTCAGCAAGTAGTCTTTTTTCTTCACTTCATTGTCTGCACTGTGTTGGTAATTTTATCTTTTGTTTTTGTCTTTAGGCACAAAAGCACAGCAGCTGATTGTCGGAATGCAAGGGGACGACGAAGGACAACAACTTACATCTGTTATGGAAATGTGTCAGGTGATTAACTAGTGAATCGATTTATCGACATCGATACCCACTATCTGTGTCAAAATATTAACGATGAATTGCTTATGTGTCAACTGATTACGACCGGTGTGCAATCTGATAAAGTAGCAATCAGACCCATGCAAACCCTACTGTCAGCAATTGAGTATTTGGAATAATGGGACAAACGCAGTAAATTTAGAAATTTTATCCTATTGTCTGGGAGAAAGGGACAGTTTTCCCCCAGCCTCCCCAAAATTTCCGCTACTCGTACTCTTTCTTTCTCTGTTAACTCGTACTCTGTTAATTCCCGAAAAAGGTGTTGTAGCATCAATTTATGACGAACTTTTGTTAAAGGCGTCATATAATTCAATGATGTTTCTTTGCTGTTTATTAGTGATAGAACCAACCAACCTTCAATTTCAATTTTTCCGTAGTTGCTTGTAATGGGAAACGAAGAAACTCTTGGCGGATTTCCTGTGAAACAGGCTGTCCCAGTATTGGTATGTTTCGTGTGACTCAGAAGGTCTTGGTTACTTAAAAAAACCTTGATTATAAAAATATTTATGTTTCATCGATGAAGATCTACCTTCCCAAAGACATTCCTTGACATCCGTTTTTCTAAAGGCTTCTCTTGTGCCTGTCAATAAATCTTTGTGACATAATGTTTGCATTTTATTATTTCCTTGATACAACATCTTCTTTATTTCTTAGTCATTTCTGTCAAAATATGTTGGGAAAGAACATTTTTAAAGAAATATTCATTTTTATGGAGTTATCCAACTTTGCTTGGTGGATTGCAGGCTTTGAAGGTTTTCGCTTCACTGCTTGACGTCATAAAATGTCAGCGTAAATGTTCATAATTTCTGGCAACGATTACCGTTGCAATTTCGAAGACCAATGATTTTTATGCAAGAAAACGTTTTTTTCTAGATAAACCTCCTACAAATGGATCGCAACTTTGATATTGTACGTACAATTTTTCTTATTTCAGCTATTTTGAGCATTTTAAAGCGCAAAACATTCATCACCCGCGTGGTGAACATAGCGCTCATTAAAGATTCAGGTCTTTTTTCTGACGTTGGATGTGGTTTTTGATGTTTTGAACACAATCATCAGAGTAACAGAGTTGATGAGAATGCTGCCAAGTTTAGATACACATGCCGGCAAGAATCCTAATCGGCTAACTACAGAAATCACTAGCTATATTTTGTGTTCCAGACACCCAATTAATATATAATCTTATCTCAATCATGTTTAAAACGCATGGATTTCTCTTCTATTGATTTATGACAGTATATCACAGAAGAAGCATTGTGAAGCAACTGATAACGCTAATCATACTCTGACGTCACGACTCTCGTTTTTATTCACAGACCAACCACGCTTGCAGAGCATTGACGTATTTGATGGAAGCGCTGCCCAGGTCCTCAGCTGTTGTTGTTGATGCTGTTCCAACGTTTCTCGAAAAGGTTAGGAGATATTCACAACTTTCAACAGGCGTTGTTTGATTAAGTTTTTTGCTAAGTGTTATTAAAGGCGATGTGTCCATATAAAAGGACTGCGTATACCCAACTTGTCAAGCCACCCATCAAAATAACGGTTTGCGATTGGTTAGTATTCTTGCGATGCAAAACTGCTCACATGAAAAGATAACCTCGCAGCAGAATAGATAAACAGAACGGACCGTAATGACTGGAGCGATGACATGAAAAATCACATGTTTCTAAAAACCCGCTTGCTTTAGCTGGACACATTACCTTTAAGCTTTGGGCTTTGAGAGGGTGCAAGTAAGGTATTGGCTAGCTTTGAAATAAAAACAGATAAAGGTAGACTCGTTTATGATCCGGAAAATCATTGTGTGAGGAATCAGAAAATTAACTTTGAAAAAAAGGAGTTTTTTAGAGATATTAAAACAGAAATAGATGTTATTTCAATCCAACAAATGTTATAAACATTGTGTTAAGTACTTAAATAAGGGTTTTTTAAACTTCACCTCAATAAAACAGTAGAAGCGTTTTTATTTTTAACAGCAGCAACAACATTAGCAGAAGCTTTCTATCAGCACGCCCCTACCCAATAAGGCTGCAATAAAGACAATAGGTTGCCCCAGTAGTGCTCCACGAAGATGCACCCGCTTGAAAACGCAGGATAAAGGCCCGGTCAAGAATGACATCAATAAAGATCTCCTTTCAAATATCTTTCAGTTTTTTCCCGTGATTGCATTTGAATGTACGTTGATGTACGTATGTAATTAAAGTAATGTACGTACTTTAAATGTTGAGAATGCGTTTGCATTTCAATTATTAAAAAGTTTTCACGACCCTTTATGCCCTCGCAGCTTCAGGTAATTCAGTGTATGGATGTTGCGGAGCAATCCCTCACGGCTTTGGAAATGTTGTCAAGACGACACGGAAAAGCAATATTACAGGCTGTACGTACAATTATCATAATCTTCATAATTAAGAATGAAATACGTAACTATGTTTATATCACAAAAGCAACATTGGAATATGTATTGTTTACTTGAATCAAAGGCAAATCAGCAGAAGCGGACTGGCCCATCAGGACATCGGGAAATTTCCCGGTGCGCCCTTTGCCTCACGTTATTGTTTTCAAAAAGTTTAAAACTTTCAAAATCTTCTTACAGAATTAAAAATGATTACAGGCATCAGTTTACCTGTCGAAAGTATGCTTACTTAAAAGTTACGCTTCCCCTTAAACTGAGCAAAATTAAGTTTAATTGCAAAGATTCCCAATTCTGGTTATTGTAAAATTCATTTAAGGCGAAAGTTTGATCAGCAAATGCTGCATGCTTTTATGAATTCTTTGAAAAAGCATTAGTGTGGCAACACTCATTACACACCTGGTTAGCTTGCTATTTTTCAAGCTAATCAGTGGTTTGAATCGTAATAAGTCCGTCACTGCAAACCAGCCTATTGCTCTGGAAATGAAAATCGTCTCTGCTGCAATGAAGTTGCTCCTACTTTCGATATTCAATTTTTCTGTAAGAAACTAAGGTGTCAAAACCAAATAGCAAATGGGAGAGGAATGGTATCCAAACGTCCTACTGTTCGTATACTTCACTACTCATTGTACAAATACTTCAACAGTTAAGTATATTTAAAGAATGGTTGACTGATGTTTCTATTCCGTTCCATAGGGCGGCCTAAATGCATGTTTACTGTACCTCGACTTCTTCTCAATTGTGGCACAGGTTTGTAATCAAGTTAGCTTGATTTTTACGACGATTCACATTATAAATATAAATGTTTATAAAGTATTAACTCTTTTAAATTAATCTCTTGCTACATTTGAAGTTGATTGATGCTCACATCTTGTAAAAATGTTGAGAAAGTTTTGCCAGTAACTGTATTAAGACTGAGGTACAGTGATTGCAGCCAAGGAGTCTTTTGCCTGGTATCTCATAATTAGCACTGTTGTCAAATAAGTTTCTGAAAATTATAAGATCTGGAGACTTCAAGGTAAATAGACTCGAACGTCTTTCCTGGTATCCAGTAAGGATTTTTCATTGTAGCATTCTTTGAAAAAGGTGTTTCTCTACGGCTGAGTCATGACTGATGTTTTGTTATGATGACCCTCTCCAAGTCTAGCCTTTATGTCATTTCTGAAATCAAGATAACACCCCACCCTATCATTGACCATTTGCGTTCTAAGTCAAAAGTTTTTATTTGTAGCGATGTGCCCTTGGTATTGCATCAAATTGCTGCCAGACCATTACTCCCGAAGAATTCCACCATGTTAGCGACGCAATTTCGATACTTTCTGGGAGGCTAACGAATCAAGTAAGATTTTTGCTGTCCTATTAGCTCATTCCCGTTAGATTTTCTCTCCATCTTATATAAGTTATATTCTCATTAATCGACCCTTGCCTCCCTTCATTTTCCTTGTTCTATCCTCCTGATACGAAACCTTCCTCTCCCATTCTCTTTTAGGTTCGTACCAATATGACCCCCGTCCCTGTTTCTCACTTTGAATTTATTGTTTTCTATATCCTTGCCCTCTCGTTTCTCCGTTTCTTTATCTGTTTTGTTTTTTCATTTTGTCTGTAACCTAATTTCATTTTGTTCTTCTTCATCTCTTCCTATCCAAAATGATATTTTTTCCATTTTTCTTTGTCTGCTTTCCTCTGATATTTTCAAAATTAATTCCGTTAAAGTTGAATATTTATAACTCGCTCATATAAATCCTAATTTCAGGATAAAAAGTCATTAGAAAATGTCTGTTCTGCCTTTGCACGCCTTGTGGACAATTTCCAACGAGATAAGGTTTGTCGATATAAAAATTTAAACATTAGCAATTGTCTGATGCTCTACTGTTACACTGCTTCAGTTAGGGTTGTTCTGAGTTCAGGGCAGACCAACATCCGTTCCTCCGTGTCATTTTTCTTGAACGGTTTTATTCAATAAAGCTTGATCCTGATCCTCAAGAACTGCTAAAAATGTTAACACTTTTGATATTTGTCCTGATAATTGCGATAGGCACAGCCCTGGTAATGAAAATAAGCTGAAAAATGTCAAGAGTTTCTTGTTAAAGTCAGACGTGTTTATGTTACTCTAAAACTGGTCTGAGAATTTTACTTAAAATTCTTATTCTCAGAAAGAGAAATTTCTTAACACCAATTTTATAAATATATATTGGATTCATTTGTCATTTCAGGTTCCATCAACTGCATTTATTTTTCTTGACTTAGTTTGTCCATCTTTTTTTCTTTGCAGAAGCTTCTAAAGGAATTATGCGCACATGGTTTACTACCAAATTTGCAGCAACTGGTAAGTAAACCAAATGAAAATGTTTCTTCTATACCTTTCCTGATTTGTCAGCTGTTCTAAGTTTAACGCCTTCTGTTAACAGCGTTACACAGGTATTAGATTGTACTAAAAACAAGTATCATATTTCTAAATATGACTGAAAAATCAGTGGGAAAAAGACATTGATGAAACCTAAACTTCCTCTAATTAAGGAAGGAACGCGTACTTTCGGAATTTCGGTAGCACGTTGTTTCTTTTTTAAATGCAAAATCTCCACACTGTTTTCAAAGATACAACAATTTCGTCCTTATGTTTATGATAGTGCACTCCTGAAAAATTGGTGATGTTTTTGCTTGAGATTACTTTGATATTCACACAAATGCCATCCAATTCACTTGTATTATTTTCATAGCCCCTTTTTTGCCAGAAGATGTAAAGCCCTTTGCCTTTTCTGAGATTCATCGTCTGTATTTTGAATTGCAGCTTATGATCTCACCGCCCGTTATTAGTACGAGCACCTTTGTAATGGTAATCCGTATGCTTGCTATCATGTGTGCAAACTGTCCTGCGATCGCTGTCAAGCTTTTCCAACAGAGTACGTCACTTTACTTATTCATTTCACATTAAACTTCAGTTTACATAACCTAGTACTTTATCAAATATAGCGGTAAATTGAAAGTAAAATGTATTCTCATAAGAGACTTAACAACGTGGTATAAAAAGGTATACTACAGACCTCATGAAAGCAATAGCTTATCTTTGGAAGGTTTTCGTATGATTTTGTTTAACCACAGTTTAATCTCTGTTAGTAACCTTGATCTATGCAGAATATTTCATTTCTAACTGCAGCCCCTCTCTATGTATCACCTTTACCTTTAACGTCTGATGAATCGATTATTCAACTTTGTTGATTCGCTGCGTTACTTTTCCTGACTTTAATTTCTAACAGTGAAGTCAATATTTCTACTATATTGCGGTTTTTAAGTCAGTCATTGAATAAATAGTTTGTTCACCGGCTAGTTTATTTTTGTAGATATTGCAGATACCATAAAATATCTCCTCATTGGCAATCAAACTGAGGAAAATAATGATGTTTCACATAATGAGGTAAGCCTGCAATACCTAAAAATATAACTTCAGGCGTCCAACATCAACATTGTTTTTGTATTTTCAATTTTAAATTTTGTTTTTGTATTTTTGTACCAAGGGCATGGTTTGTTTATTTTGTAAGCTTTATAATTTTTTTTATGTTGGGTTTTTGTTAAGATGTATTTGTTATGCAAACGATCCATACGTCATTCCTGTTGAAAGATCACAACGGCTAGAATTCTGCCACTAACACGTTCTATTGTTTCCTTTCTTTTGCATTTAGTTGATTCCAAGGACACCTCAAGAGCTGTATGAAATAACATGTTTTGTAAGGTATATAAATATTAGTTTTGATGTCAGAGGCTACATTACTCTATTGCAGAATATATGGTGTATAATTGTAAGACATATATAATATTGTGCAATTTTGTAGAATTCTAAGAAAAAATGCGAATTGTCATATTTGACAATAAAAAATTGATTTTTTGCGTAGATTTTAAATATTTTAAGGTATATATATTCAAATTGCGGCCAAATTTATGAACATTATAAAAGGATCAAATAGACAAGATGTGTAGAAAGTAATAACTTGTATTGTTATGATAATTTCACGAAAGCATTGACATTCACTGCTTTTTTGGTTGTTGATGTTGTTAATGTTAATTGTCAGAAATACATATCCCTTCGTCTATTCATGTTTATTATAATTGATCTCTTAGCGAGCTGCTACCAAAACTACCCGCCACAGGTATATAGCTAGTTTTCAGTTCTTGATACATGCCTTCCTTCTCGAATTGAATTTTTCAATGGCCTTCTACCGTATTGAACATATATTTGCGAGGATTGTTCAGTTGTTAAAGGCGCTGACTACCGACTCAAGGGTCCGTGGTTCGAGTCCCTGACATGACCAAACTTTCACCCAGTGTGGGGAGAGTTGCCAGCTCTCTGTAATTATAGGCGTAGGAATCACGAGGTGTGTTTACATCGAGAGGAAGGACCAGGACACTGCTCGATAAGCATAGCTTCTCGGTGTCCTAAAAACTACCTTCGGATGCTAGGTAGCAACAAATACAAACATGTATTTGTATTCAGAGGCTCAGAGATTTGTAATCGCTACTACTTATTCTACATGTCTTCATCAAAGATTTATTTTCGTTTTATTTCATAGGCGTCTTCAGCGTAGATGCCTTGCTCGTGAAAGGCAGCCAGCAAAATACTACAAGTGGTTGTTGGCAATGGAGAGATGACAGGGGTGTCTGGCATAATTACATGTGGGTTGACAACAGAATTCTCGAAGCTGCTCATCAAAGCAACGAGGATGAGATTAGCCTTTCGACACTGGGCAGGAATTATATCATTGATTTTACGAACATGCAACAGGTAGGGTTGCTCTCCTCCTTTTCTTTTTCTGACTGAGAGGGTGTATTTTCAAACATGCTGTCTTCAAATTTTAAATAGTAAAACTTCTACTTGCGTGTCATTAACTGATTTTATTTTCCAATTTCAGATAAACGAAGACACAGGAACAATCAGATCGATCCAGCGAAAGCTAAACGCTGCAGAAAACTCCACTTCAGTTTCGCAAGATAAAGAAGTCGAAGGCGAGGATGAAAGGAAGGTTGCCCTAACTGAAGAACCTGCTCTTGGAGAGACTTTTGTCAAGTCGTTGTTGTCAGTAATGTATGATGTTTACTACTCGTCTGTTGGTCCAGCAGTTAAACACAAATGCTTAAATGCTGCTTTGAAGATGTTGTACCATTCGAGTGCTGAATGCTTGAAGCCAATTCTCGACAACTTGCCTATATCCAGCTACTTGGCTGGGATGCTCACTTCAAATGATCCAAGAGTCGTCTGCTGTGCATTGCAAAAGGCTGAGATACTGATGATCAAATTGCCGGACATATTTCACGTGTCATTTCGCAGGGAGGGCGTCATGCATCGTGCAATGTCGCTGTCAGTTAAGTCTGATGGCAACGTGGGGCGTAGTGCAGATAAGGCTCCAGCTGAGGTTAAGCCCAAAGGAGTTGCAAGTGCAAGCGAATTAGTAAAGTGTTCAGATTCTGTCGACGGGATCATGGTTGATTTGGACAAGTCTCCCTCAACTGGGAAGTGAGTTTATTGATTTAGATTCAACTTCAATTCATGTCACCAAAAACTCACCTTCGTCTTCAACTTATTTTTATCAAAGACATCTGTCTTGTTGTTTAGAGCAGTATATAGAGTTGTGGGCCAGGTGACTTCTCTCTATTTGCAAACATAAATCAATTTTCGCTTGTTACCTGAGTTTTTCCTTCCATTAAAGCACTAAAGGCTCTATAAAGTATGTTTTTGAAAGGTTTTGTTAGAGAGATGTTTTTTACAATTCTTATGAAAACACTAGGGCTTCGATAATCTTGAAACTTTGCGTTCCAGGATCACCGAATCTTCAAAACGAAAGAAAATATCAAAACGATTGTCCAGGCAGAAGCAGAGCCAGGCCGCAATGGCGGATGATGCACCATCAACTTCATCTAAAAAGGGGGCGTCTGCATATTCCCGAACACGGGCAGCCACGTTCACGACCACTGCTAGTCAGCAATCAAGCAGCTCGAAAACATCGTTTTTCTCAAGCTTCGCACCAAGATGGGGCAGATCGCAATCTTACACTAGTGCTGCAGCCTCTGCAACAGGTTCTAAGGTAATACAGAGGATCACGTATCTCAACGTTGCTCCTAACACATCTTTCTGGCATTGTTCACACCACAGGTCTATTGATTATGCAAAATGGTCTTCAGAGAAGATCTTATACTTCCTAACTCCTTTATTGAAAACTGTTATAGAACATCCTATTTTAGCCTTTAGAAGATCGTTGCTTCTACTTTGATCAATAACCTCCATTTTGTTAGTAGCTTTAGGTTAATGCACTTTATCGAACATAAACAATCCCTTAAGCTACTTGTCCCAATTAACCCAATGAGCAATTTGTTTTACGGTCGTTGCAATTCATAAGCTTATTTTTTCCCAGGAGAGAATCGTTAAGGAAGAAGATGAAAACAAGGGCAAAATTAAATCTTGGATTAAGGATCAAGGTATTTTTTCACTTTTTTATTTCGATGATTTATTTAAAGATTGTATATTTCTCTCAACTTTGAAACAATCAGCCAAATCAGAAATTTTTTCTTTGAGTTAAATTGCACGAAACCTACGTCAGTATTTCGTTTTTTCGAACAACCTTCTGTTAAGGGGTAGTGGTCGAAATTCCTCTCAGATTTCTGTGTTTATGATTGAAAAAGTATGATGCCTGTAATTTTTTCCCGCTAGCTGATACTGTAAACGATTCTTCCCATCTCATTACATCATATCCTTTCCAACTCTTATACTTGATACCACCTCACTTAGAAATTTAAACTCAATATAAAGCCTGCCTCACGTAAACACGTAATATAAAGAACTTGGCTTAATCTTTCTTGTATTCATCCCCCATCCTACATCCTTAAATCAAGCTGGTTTCATCCCCGATCACCCATATCTCTGTTATCCCCCTCGCTCACCCCACTATCCGTACACGCCATCCTTTCATAACCAGCATTTGAGCTAGAAGCAATTTCCGTTGCAGCAATGTTTTAAGACGTTTTTTTAACTTCTTATTTCAGCTGCCAAATTCTACGAAAGTTACTTTGGAGAACAGCTTGCTGGTGACTCACATCCAGCTCTCAGTATTCTTCATCGACTGACGAAAGCAGCCGAAGATCTCTCCCTTACTGTGAGTTGCTCTTCTGTATTTTATGACAATCATAGTCAATATTTGCTTTTTATGACATAGCATAGTCAATATTTGCTTTGCTTTTTCTTTTTCGATGTACATTATCGCAAAATACGGGGTGAGAAAAGACAGCGCCTTTGACATCATCGCTGCCCTTGAAGTCTCAGTTGTCTGACAAATAACCTAAAAAAGTCTCGTTGATATGTAAACAGAATTGTTGAATCTAAGTATAGTTCAGTTTAAGTGTAACAAGTGTGCAAGGAGACGGCAAATGGTTACCATTCAAACAAGTATACCATTCAAACTTTGTGAAGGTGTTGACTTAATGCATTGTTTATGTGACTGTTAGTGTTTGCGGATATCGATGTCAAATGGGGAACTTTGTACGCACAGAGAATGTATGAAAATTCAATAAAAGTGTGTTTGAAACAGGAAGGTTTATGAAGTTTGATCCTACTACTTGATCCGTACCCAATTCTATCAACATTTTAATATTTGTGTTCATGTTACGATTCATTTCTGCATTGTGTGCCTGCAAAAGTATCTTTAAAGAACCTATTCGACTAAAGAGTATCTTAAATTTGTTAATCTAATACATTATTGGTAAGCAGTGTATATAAGCATTCAATTGATATTTGTTTGCAGTATTTCTGGTACATGGTAAACTACTGATTGTATCTATTTTGATATACACATTTTCTTGCACAGTTGCGTATTCGATTCCGCTAAATAAGGCTGTCTCAACCAGATTGTTAGGCCAAGAATTCAATTCAACTTATACTTAGCCATTAGCCGCATGAATAGTACTCCCTGCCATAACTCAACTTATACATTGCAGTTATCCGTTTTAATATTATTTACAATGGCTCAATTACATTTTGGATGCTTCATGTTCTTTTCTGCCTCCGCTTTAGCGAGATACTGGCATTGCAGCATTAAAAGAAATCAGCGATGTTTTGAAAGAGAAAAACGACCATGGTGCAAGTGCTTTCGAGATTCTTCATAGCGGCCTGATCAAAAGCCTTCTCAGGTAAAAACCTTTTAACTGGGAAAATTGGCTCTTAATTTTTGCATTCTTGCTGAGGACACAATCTTGTAAAGTAGGTGAATACTCTGCAAATCTTGTTAACCAGACAATGCAAGGCTAGTGAGAGGATGTGTTTTATTTTCACCCAGGGTTTTTTTAGAAGAAGTTCCAACAGGCAATATTAAGGGTAGAATTTGTAGATGTTGAAACAATAAGGGGTTTAGGAAGATTTGACAAACGCAGTAGTATACAGTTATGGTCTGCAATTTTTATTGCAATATGAAAACAAAGCTATTTGGATGAAGTCTAGTTGCATAAAAGAAATAAATATTCATTTTTGCAGGTACTTGACCATTGATCGACCCGACAATGCAGTTCAAAGAAACATCAGGATCAAACGATTTTTGCACGTTTTCCTCGGTTGTCCTGTGAGTAGATCGAAAGTTACATTTGATTCTTATAAACAGAGCTCTTACATTTAAATTCAAGCTGAAATTTGACTCGCACGTAAATGGTTGCTTACGGGTTCAGTTTTTTCCCTATGCCCCATGCTCGATGCTACTTGAACATTTTATTATTTTCCCGATAATGGCTTCAGTGACTTAGTAGAAGTTATTTGGTGTTGAAGAAACAATTATTTTTAATTTTAGGATCCAGATTTGCTATCAACAAGATCGGTTGTAAGTTGGGCATATGTTTTCAAATCAAAACCCTTCAAAGTTGCCTTTTGTCTGTAATCGTTGAGTTTGTTTCAATTCTACCAGCATTTCTATGATGTGTTACGATTTGTCCATATTTGCATACAGAAATATTTTGCAACCAACAAGACCCTTCACGAATTCTGTTATCTTCCAATAGTTATTGATAGTACTAAAAGACTTCTTGCCTTGGGTCTTTATGCTCTTACAAATATGTAATGTTGTTATGGTCATCCTGTCTTTTCAGGTTTCTCATCCATTTTTCCTAGATCGTAGTAGATAATCGGAGATCAATACAGTAAAAATTGTACCTAATTCTCCCTAAGGCTATTAGTTTCGCTTTTTTGCTATATAATGTTGAGACTTACTGCTGTTTGTCATTTTGAAGGAGCCTTCTGCAAAACCCTGTCTTCCTGCTTTGGTTCAGAAATTGAATCTTTGCATTAATCAGTTGGAACAGGTAAATATATTTTCGCCATAGACTCAGTTAATTCCAAGAAATCGCTGTTCTCTTAAACATGTTACTCTCTATTTTCTTCTGGGATTTAAAACTCCACCTTGTTAAAAGCTTGCTTCCAAAGAAACGCTATTTTTTCAAATAGAAACAACTTATATATATTTTTCTTTGGGTTTATCGCCCCTTGATAAATCCTTTTTACTGTTCCCTTTTATTTTTCACAGTTTATGTTTCAGTATAAATGTATTAGCGTACGCCTTTTCGAAGTTAATAGATAAATAAGGTGTGGCTAATACTAGTTTCACCATGTCAAATTTTATCACGTTTTATAGTTATCTAGTTAACAATAAGTTTTAACATAAAAAACGATTCTTCCATTCAACACTCTTGCCAAATGGCCCCAAAGCTAGAAAATGTTGTATTCCCTCTAAAAAGTTTAGAATCAAAGGGGTGCACACTGATGAAAATTTGTATGTTTTTTGTTTTAGTTTACAGTAAAGTGTCATGACCTACCCGGTGCAGTCAATGGGTCAAGGTATGTTGTTGCATCTAAAACCCCTGAATACGTTTGCCAGAATACTTTAACAGAATACTTCACATTATCCGAAACACAGCGACAAAAATCTTCTGCTGTTCCTTTCATATTTATTCAACTGAAACATTTTTGTCAGTTCTTTTTGTTTTTATACTTCAATGTTAAATCGATTTTTTTTACCTAGGGGAACTTCTGCTCTGAGGTTTTTCAACACCCATCAAATTAAGGTTTGTAAATTCAAATTGAAAATTGATTTTAATACTTATTTTATAATAAAACGAGGTTGAAACATTTGTAAAGTAAGATTGTAACATGGCCCCAGAAGACAGTGTAGAAAGAACAAGGTTAAATACAACAGGAATTTTTGATATGAAAAATACGCCTTTAATCTAATTTTCAATCAAGTTGTAATGCAGTGAATATTTCTAAATTCTGAAACTGAACCTTTTCAGCTTGTTTTTGATAACCAAAGGGAAATCCATAGCTTCCTTCTGCAAGATCAATGAAGGCAAAACTTTCCTTCTAAAAACAACATAGATCCAACCTATATTTTTTCCTTCTTACCGTCAAACTAGATGTACTGACTTTAAGTTCAAAGGTATGGCATCTTACCTGCCAAACTGAAAGAAACAAGGCTACTGACCTGCCTCTGTTTGAACATAAATCCTTTTGCAGTTGCAGTTGGAGGTTTTAGTTACAAATTGAATTTTAGAATCATGAATTCTCTATGTTACCCATGTTAATTCAGAAATTTGTTTACAGTGTAACCTGCAAAGACACAACGATTGTCACATCTTGAGGCAATGGAAAGGTGGCACGGTTAAAATTGATCCATTGGCACTTGTTCAGGTAACAACCTTCTCTAAATACCAATCCCATTTTGCTATTTGATATTATGACCAGTGAAGTATAAACGGGATGTTATAAGCTGTTAAATGAATAGCAAAACTTCAGTATTAATAGGTAAATGCAAAAACAAGGAGTTTTTCACTTGACGCTCATTAAGGTTATAAACATCATAATAACTAGAAGTTAACACATTTTACAAATTCAGCTCTGTAACTAGGTTTTGAAGCTCTTGTCATGTGGTATTTAACTGACAATGGTTTTGTTTTGGTTTCTGTCATCACTATTATTGATTAATTTAGTTTAGAATGTCTTAAAGCACTGATTTGATACAAATTTCTTAAATTCAAGCAAACCTTTTTCTACATACTTTGCTCTGTCCGTACAACCCTGCAGTTTTGTAATAACAGACAGAAAGAGCGTTTGATTTGTATCTAGAGAAACTTGTAATTCATCATAGGAGCACGGCTTGTCAGATATCCTGGTTTTTATAGTAGCTCAGCTCTTTATGAAATATAAATCTAGAATATTTATGATGAGAGCGTCCATTCATCAAAGTTCACCATACGTAATATTTTTTGTTAGATAAAATGAAAATTATTTTTACATTGCCATAACTGTAAACGGGCATTGAAAAGTCTTTTAGTAAAAAAGCTTTTGTCTTACAGTTGTTTCTTGCCTTTTTATCCAGGCGGTAGAGAGATATTTGGTCATAAGAGGGTTCGGAAAAGTTCGTGAGGTTAGCCTTTTTCCTTCTTGTTTTTCCTCTAACTCTCCAATGCAGTAATCTTGATTTCTGCTTAGTGATTTATGTTATTAGTGTATTTTGCAGAAAGTATTGTTTCAAATATCACCGCTAGGTTGTTTTTTATCTTTTAGTCAAAATTGATTATCCTAATCTACAAAAGGTGTTCATGTATGCCTTTGGGTGATAGAGAAATATTCAATAGATTCTGATCAAATGCTTTATATTTCCCGGTGAATTGTATGTTCTTTATCTTTACAATTTTTGTAAATTTCTTTATAGCATGGCGATGATGAAGATAGTGATGACGATGAAGGGTAAGGTCATTCTTCAAATATATAGAGCTACCACAGAAATCTATGGTGATGGCACAACAGAAATCTATTTTTAGAATTTTTGAATTTGAATAGCATTTTGAAAGGCTGAAGGGGTATGAATAAATACCTCTAGATATGCAAAGTCAGTTAAGTGTGCTGCAAACTTGGTGAAATATGTCCAAATGAACAAAGGCTTTTCCCCATCAAATAGATTATTTATGACGTCGCATTTAAGAACTCCATTTCCATTTTTAGGCTTCCGCCTAGGGGTATAGAATATTTAAGCCTTCTTTTGTCAAAAAGTAAGGAAATATAAACTGCCCCTACACGCTACTTTTTCTTGTAATGCCCAATATTCTGACACTTACTCAGCTTTTCACATTGTTTTAGCACTGACGGTGAGATTGACGAGGCATGGGTATGTTGATAATCTTCCAATATTCTTTATCTGTTTTTATTAAATTGATCAAATCTAACCGTTGAGATATCTCTGTCAAAATTTGTGAAATGTTCAAAATGGCGCATGATAGGCCTAATAGCGTCTTGAACACAGCCATAGCTTTATTGTGACTACCCGCTTAGATGAGAATCGAAAAAGAGGTTATTTGTATACACCACTATTGGATATTTTCATATCAGTGGCACATATAGGTATATAATTTTTACAAGTTATAACCATACATCGCATGTTGTATCTTGTTGATCATAATTTCTATATTTGTATGTTTCTAAAAACTTGATCGGTTGTTCCTTTTAGGGCTCCTCAGTTGGAACCGTGAAGCCAAAGTGAGTTTTCACTAAAAAAATTGTTTTTTGCCTCATTCCTATTATCTTCACTTACAGATTCATTTTTGCAGCATTAATACTCTATTTTGTAGTGTATACCTAATTATGAAGTGATTTTTATGCCATTGGCATTTATATAAAGACACATACCGAGAGAGACAGCAATTATCAGTACTAACATGCAAATTCATTATAAAGCTTCTTTTGGCATCAACCTTCCCAATGCAATGTACATTTTATTTTTTCAGGCATTATTTGGAGCTTGTATTGAACGGACGTGTTCTTCCATATGACATGACTATTTACCAAGCAGTTCGTCAATATGGAGACACAGGAGTAAGTGCCTACATTAAGTGTCTAACTTTGGCACTAAAGCCAATATTCAAATTGTATTTGCAGTGATTTAATTTTGAATCAAGATATTGCTGTGAAAGTTGCCGTGGTTTTCTTCAAATTAAAGGATAACAGAATTAAGTTAGATTTGAAGGGTACAGATTATATATATTATGAATATCTGATTTAAAATTTCTAATTATTTTTTCTTAAAAACACCTTCATGTTATTTCTCAGAATTCTAAAGGCTTAAATTCAGCAGTTTGATACTGCATATATGACCTTTGTGTATCTTTTACGTCATAGTTTGGTGAAGACGGCAATGTCGATGACGACCAAGGGCCACTCGGCAGGGCCAGCATTTGGTCAGAAACACACACTATATTGTGAGTAGAATACTTGATTCAAACATCAACCCACAATTTCCTAAACATTCAGGTTTTGAAAATCCATATCTTATGTACTTTAACCAGTTGTGTGGAACCTGAACTTTCTTGTTGGAAGGACAAGCGCAGTAAATTTCCCAGTTTCTTGTTTTCTCTTCAATTTTTGTATATACAGTATGTGTACAAAGTATCCAATTTTAAATGTATATACATTTTCCAGGTCAAGTCGAAAGGGGGGAGAGCAGTTGACTAGTTTAATCTTTATTAAACGCGAATTCTGTATCTGCTGCATGAATGCCACTTTATTTATATACTATTTTTGTTTTAGTTATCGTCCAATCAGTCCAAACAGTGCTGCAAGTCAACCGGCGATCAAGAAACGCTCTGAATCAGCATCGTCTTCAGCGACATCCAAAACATCCATGAAAAGTCTGTCGAAATCGTCCATTAAAAACACTGGTCAGAATCATACTTAACTTTACATTTCATTCATGCTGAAACGTAAGGCTAAAATCTTTAGATAATTTGTTTAAATAAACCACAATTAATCATTCTTTAGTTTCTCTGCAAGTTAAAAATTTGCCTTTGCAAGTTAAAAATTTTATATAATTTAAGGTCGTAGCAAATAAGCAGCAATGATTAAGAAAAATATAGCACTGAGATATCTTAACATATGTTTGGATAACCAAGCTATCATCGTCGGATAAAAGCATTCCAGGTTTCCCACCATTCTGATGCACTTTCTATGAATTTTTCTGAAGCTGCAAATTATCAACGATTCCATGCCTGCTACTTTGTGGCAAATCTTTTTGTTTTCCCTTCTCACTAATGTTTCCTTTCGTTATTTTGCCTAAAATTTGTTATATTGCCAGGCCTTTCAAATGCAAAGTGTTCCCACATTGCTTTACCACAAAATTGGACAGCATGTGACCTTATTTGTAATTGCTTTTATGCTGCCCATTAAGACGAAACCTTTGATTATATACCCTTGATTTTATCTGCATGACAAAAACTTCAGTTTTCTAAATGTCTGCACTGTCTTTTCCAGATATGTCTACATACTTAACCGAAAAACTGCCTGGCAATATCCGTACGTATACTTTGTTTTTTTCCTACAGAATGGCACTAGTTTTGCTTTCTTCCACTTATATCATCCTGACCTTTTTGTCATAGAACCTGACATTTGATTTAGACTCGTGGTAAACAAAGCACCTTTAACTCAAGATGCCAAGCCTGGCTCAATTTTTATGATGAAATTTAACATAACAAAATTCAATTTTTTGTTGCCACTAAGAGAAACAGAAGTGAGATACCGGTGCAAACTAGCACTGTTTACACATGTTTCCATAGCAATAACAAATTGTCAAATACTGCCTGAATACACTGATTGAAATTTACTCAGTCGCTGATCATTGCAATGTATATCAAATCAAAACAGCCCTCAATGTAATGGTCATTATAGTTTTGAATTGAAATGCTAAAAATTGAATTGAAAATCTTTGACTTTTTAGGGAAATACTCAACAAGTTTTTGTCCTAACCTCTGATTTATCCATGATGTCTTGTTATTTTACAGAGTTGAGTGACCCCTCTCTTGAAACCATTTGCTTAATGAGGTTGCTGTATTACCTAAATATACATTGGGGAGATTTATACGAGGTAACTGTTTTTCTTGATTGATCGATAATATTTGCCTGTTCTGGTCTTTGAAGAGAAACACGCTCTACTTGATGTAAGTTTGTGTTTAATTTTGAAAAAGAAACTAGAATTGGTTTATCAATTATTTTGACATCATAAGTTAATAATATATGATATACCGTCAGTTTTATTGGTTAAGATGTGACTGAATTTGCTGTTCTAGATAACCAGTTTGTGTGATAATGAATTGTTATATTCTCTGAACGTTTTTATGAGACAGTTAATGACTAAATTTAATGTAGGTAAATCTTCCTCTGGCCTTGAATTTTTCGAATGTATTTTTTAGATTCATCAACCTCACGCAACTGTCTCTGTCAATGAATTCATCAATGCAAAACTATCTGCCAAAGTCTCAAGGCAACTGCAAGGTAGGCAAAGAGCTGCTGATTTATGTTTATTTGTTGAGGTGAAATGACAAGGCTGCTAGAACACTTGACTGTAGTGTTCAAGGTAGCAAGTTCTGAGCAACTGCCCATCAAGAAGCTGTAGATGAGACTGTGTGACAGTGATCTGTAGTAGGATTTTATGTCATCAATTAACAAACTTAATTATGTCATAAATAATATGCTAACCTCGCTTTCGTATGTATATAACACTAAGTCTTTTGTTTAGTAATCTAGTCAGTGATTAACCTCAACACGGGTCGCACGCTTTCTGTGTTCACTTTCGAACCAATTTGTTGACTACTCGAAGTGACAAGGGTTTTAGAGGAAGTCTAAACCCTATTACAGATCTAGGGGGTGCCTAGGATAAATATTTTCCCTATCAGGCACTGCATCTACGCACGGTTGTATATGGGACTTCTGGTTATGTTGTAGAGAGCAGTTTGAGGTTGATTGTTTTGCTTTTTTGCCATTTGTTGATAGGGGTGTTCATAATTCTAGGATTACTCTTAACAAAGAGGTCCAATCCATAATATGAATAAAGTTATTTCATTTTCTTTGATCTTTCTGATGTTTCATACTCTAATGAGATTCAGAAGATACAAGCTTATAAGTAGGATAAAGCTATTTGGTCCTGTCCAAGGATTGTACCAGCAGAAAGTTTTTTGCTTCATAATTGCTTGATATGCGGGTTGAAGAATGCCTGTGGACTGATTCACGTCTGCTGCTAAACTCTGTAAATTGTCATATATTGAGTTGTAGGTTGCTGTGTGATTTCTTTTATGCTTCCATGTCTTTGCTTTTACACTGCAATGTTACAGCTTGTCTGTCCCCGTTTGACTGCTTCTATTTTTGTATACAGTTGTTTTTAGACGATTAATTATTGGTACAGTGTTATATGCATGTTTCTTAGCAGGAATGTGTCCCATTGATGGCTGAGTCCAAAAGAATCATCTTTATGTTTAGCATAAAGCATATATCAATTTCATTACATGCTATGCATATCCCTTCGAAAGACTAAAAAATCTTTTCCTTGTAGATCCCCTTGCCATCATGACTGGAAATTTACCATCATGGCTGGGTGAACTGGCAACTGCATGGTTAGTGTTTATAAACTCATAAGATATTAAGAGCGAACTGCACTGGTTGACAATTTCAGTTAAAGGTGCTCTCCGGTGGAAGACCAGGGGCTCCTGCTGCATTCTGTGGTCTCCTGCATATGGCCTGTGATTTCCCATAAGGGAACTCTGGTGACACGGGTGGACAATTCAAGTAAAAAATTTGGTTGCCTGCTTAACGATAAGCAGTCTCCTGCAGTTAAAAACGAGTTGTTCCGGGTGCACAGGGAACTGAATTGTCCACCCCTATAACCGCCTTGTGTTCTCTGTATGATCTGTTTCAGCAAGATTTACGTATTTTACTTTTTGCAGATGTTTATTAAAAAGAATGTATAAGTATAATGCCCTGCTTATCTAGGGATATCATGAAAATTCATATTTTTGCCAGAATATTGTCCAGAAAATCTTTTTGACTTTGATACATATCTGTTTATCATGTATCTTTTCATGAAAGTTGGAATTTGCATTAGATACTGCTGGTTAAGAGTCTGAAGCTCAAGGAATAACCTGTCACCGTTACATTTTCTTAAGTAAAGTATCTTTTTTTAAGTAAAAAAAGCAGTTGTTCATGAAAAAGGCCTTTAGATTTATCTGTTTCCAAGAGGACTGCACTCTTTGTAAAACCTCTTTCCTCAAGAACTTTGTAAATCGAAACTTTTATATGATATGGACCAATATTCTTTTCAGTGCATTCCTGTTCCCATTTGAATGTCGACAGCAGTTGTTTTACTCGACTACCTTTGATAGAGACAGAGCTTTAATGAAGTTACAGGTAAGTCAATAATATTTTGACAAATCTTGCAGGAATCTTTGCTACATGTAGGACTTGTTGCCTAGAGCTACTCAGAAGGAAACAAGGGACCGCTGCTACCGCTATTTATGCAAAATTATGCAAATATATATCTGTATTTATTAAACCGAAATAGTTATCATTCTCTTTTGTTGAATTTTCTTGTTTCCTATCTCCCTATACTGTTTATTTTTTGCTTATTATTCTATAAACACTTGAAATCCTACAGGAAAACCTCCCTGAACTGGCAAGCACGGATACTGCCGACAGAGTGACTCCAAGGCTTGAAAAGAAAAAGGTTTGATAGTTTATATAAATCTACTTTTATTAAAAGTTTGTAGTTTGTAGATACATGATTTTGCTAAGAAAAAAACAGTAGACTTACGAGTATTTTCTAGTGAACGATGGATTGAAAGTTGCTATGTATTTTATTTATACTCTAAATTCATAGTTGATTTTTTCCTCTGTTGATAGACACATCCAGAGCTAATCTGTTCTTGAAATAACCCCTTTATACAGGCGTTCTCTTTTCATAAAAGTAGAGTTTGAATTAATGCTGGTGGATTTGGTCGTCTAGATTAGCCAGTATTATTCTCATTGAAGAACTAATAGCTTGTTGCATTAAACAGAGAACTGTCCCAAGAACAGACTTGTTAGAACAAGCTGAGAATGTGATGAATGATGTAGCTGGAGGAAGAGCAATGCTTGAGATCCAGTATGAAGGGGAGGTAAGACAAAACGTCACTCATTACCAAACCAATGTACATTTAGTACAAACATTTGAATGATATCTATTATCAGTGGATGAGGCCAATCAAAAACAAGCCTCGCATAAAAAGAGGTGCTGAGTTATATCAATTTTCCTAAAAAGTTTACCTCTGAATTTCGAAAATATGACAAAAGTTCTTCCACCAATTTTCCACCGATTATTATTCCACCGATTATTATTCCACCGATTATTATTCCACCGATTATTATTCCACCGATTATTATTCCACCGATTATTTTTCCACCGATTATTATTCCACCGATTATTATTCCACCGATTATCATTCCACCCATTATTATTCCACCGATTATTGTGCCACTGATTATTTATCCACGAATTATTATTCCACCGATTATTATTCCACCAATTATTATTCCACCGATTATTATTCCACCAATTATTATTCCACCAATTATTATTCCACCAATTATTGTTCCACTGATTATTTATCCACCAATTATTATTCCACCGATTATTATTCCACCAATTATTATTCCACAGATTATTACCATTGTATTTTATACCTTATTATTTTCAAAAACATACTCCAGATAAGTCAGGCATCCTCTAAGTAGGATCGTTCTCTTCACCTTTTGAAGGCCTACTTAACGAGATTCAACTGTAGCATTACATCAACTGAATTTTTATTTTTTATTGAAGGGTTAAAATTTGTTTCACTGTTTTAAAGGTTGGTAGTGGTTTAGGCCCAACTTTGGAATTCTACACTTTGGTATCCAAAGAAATGCAGAAGGTAGAGCTGCAGATCTGGCGAGGAGACATTGTTGAAGTTGCCGAGGGAGCAGGTATGCTTGTTCATTGACAGCATCCAAAATTTGTTATGCCCAGCCAGGCCATACCAGAAATGAACCTGCAGGTGTGCAGTGAATCATACTCCTTGGCAAATCAAGGGGTGCAAAGGGGTGCTATGTCTATTTCAGCATAATTAAGTATTTATGAACATTTATTGAAAGTACAAAATTTGAAGATTTTACCCATTTTTGAATTATTTATTTGTACAAGTGTATAGATTTTCTTTTTTCAAAACTATTTGTCAAATGGAATGTAAAAATTTAATTAGAACGACACAAAAGTGACACAAAAACGACCCAAAAAAACTAAGGTTTATTGCAATGCTTTCAAAAGTGGAGGTCCACAAAAATAGAGGTTCTTGAAAACACACTAGATAAATGTGTATACACACAAACGAAGGTTTTTCAAAACTCTCCTAAACAATCTACAAAAATGGAAGCAATGTGAATGGTAAAAACCACAGAAGCTGACTATTATTATTTACTCCGTTTCGGAAACATGGTGAACACACAAAAACTGACATATTCCTCTCTGTAGACAGATAAAAGTGAAAACCCAATGGTGTGAGCATGCTAAGGCCCTGTTTACATGATACTGTTTTCACATATGTACTACACTGTGTACTACAGCATTATTGTGTAAACAGAACTCCAAATCCACGATAAAGTGAAAGCAGTTATGTGCAAGTAGGCAAAAATTTCATGTGGGATTGGGAATCTAAATATGATATGAAATGAAAACGTTGTTAATTAAACAGGACCTAAGAATGCTTCCTGTAAAGGTGGAAACTCATAGCCTTGATAAGGCATGCGATAAACCACGCTTCTTAGGGAATTGTGTGCCAAGGTGTGTGCATGCCTTTCCTAGGATGGCCTGCCCGGTGCTGAAAGGAACAAGATTCATGATATTCAAGAGTCATCGTTTTGAGATCGTTTTATTGGTTGTTAAATGGCCATTTAATGATTATTTAATGCACTTCTTTTCTTGGTAACATTGATTTGAAATGTGAAATAATATAATTAGATGCTGGAAGCCATTTGAAGTTTCCAAAAAATTTTATTGCCATGTTATTACAAAGATGTTTAAGGATACCTAACATGGATGATTTCCTGTTGTTCATTTTAATGCAGGAACTACAAATTTTAGTGGTACCTCTATGTTCTTTCGTGTTGTTTCATTAATTGTTCTTTTTTCCTTTCCACAACCAATAAAATGGTTGCTCATAATTGACTTGAAAGCCATTCATATTTTTACAAAATCGGTATATTATACTTTTCTATTGCAGGTGAATCTAAAAACGTGACAAGCTATATCCACTCTCCAGGTGGTCTTTTCCCAGGTACTTTTATGAAAATTTGTTTATTTTTTCTAAAACATCCTGCCATTGCATTTAATCATTTTGAGGGATTTTCAGTTTATACCAAATTAAGAAATGTTTAATTTTTGGATATAGAGATTGTATAGCTGCCTGTGAATGGTTTGCATTTAACAATCATTTCAGATGCCTCGTAGTTGTCCATTGAACATACTTTCATACTTTTCAATTTGAATTGCAGCTGCAATGCAGAATCTTGCTCATAATCATAGAAAAAGAACTAGTTAAAATTCCTTGATAAACATAAATAGTAGCTTAACCTAGTTTTGGAAATCATCCTTTCTGACATACTTACTATCATATTTCAGCACCTCTTCCAAAGAACATTAAAGTGAGCCAGCTTTCAAAAGTGAAATCTCGCTTCCGATTCCTTGGGAAGTTTGTTGCCAAGGCAATAATGGATTCTAGGATGATTGACCTCCCTTTCAGCCAGCCATTTTGCAAATGGATTATTGGCCTTGAATCCACGCTTCAGCTTTCAGACATTCAAAATATTGATGCAATACTATTCAAATCATTAAGTCAGCTAAATGATTTGGTAAAAAAGAAAAAGGCGATTGAACGAGACCCTGCACACACAATAGAAACAATGAGATTGGCACTGGGTAATTTGACACTGGATGGCATGCCAGTTGATGATCTGAGCCTCGATTTCATCCTTCCTGGATATGGAAATATTGAATTAAAGGTTTGTTATTAATTTCCGGTGTTCCCAGGAGGGTGTGGCCCACCAGGGCACCAGAAAAGTTTTCCAGTTTCCCCTAGAAAGGCTGCAAATATGGGCCCCTTTAAATCCTAGGTTTGCTGCAGATATGGGCCTCCAAACTCTATTTCAAGTATTCTATTTGTAAATCATCAGGAGACAGTGAATGGCCTGACTAGCATCTGCCTCTCCAGAGCCCTTTATTTTTGCCATGTTGTCCTTGTGTTCACCTTTTAGGTTTGATCTTAATGCACATCATCATTTTGCAAAAACCCTAATCCTTTTACAAAACAAATAAATACCCAAAATTTTGCCCCCATCAATCCTATTTCATAGCTATGATACTCACTTGAACCTGAAAGTGAATCAGCTGAATGTCAAGTGGATTCCCTAGCTCTGGAAAGTGATAGTCATATTTCAGGAACAGTATCAATGAAAAGTTGGCAATTACTGCCCTCTATGGCCATTTGCAGTATTTGCATTTTTGGTCACTTGTCTCTCTTTATTGTGTGTTCCATTTTATTCCATCTTATAAATTTTAATCTTGTGTTCCAACTTTCAACTGTTTTAGAAAAATGGAAAAGATATTCCTGTGACAATTGACAATTTAGAAGAATACATCAAGGTAAAAACTATACTGGATTATTTTAGGTAGTTTTCATCATTATCTGAGGAATGATTCCAAAATCGATATTATCACAAATATTATCATTAATCAAGGTACAGAAATTTTACCAAATCAAACCAATATGAATATGAATCCAGAGCTTCAGATTGTTTTGAAGTGATAATTCTTAGGTTTAGAATAGATGTAGGAAGTTTTAAGAAGGCAAACAATGAATTGCATTTCAATATCTTATTTAAATTCCAGCTTGTTGTCCACTGGACCCTGATAGAAGGTGTTTCAAAACAATTCCAAGCATTCAAGGAGGGCTTTGAGTCAGTCTTCCCCATTGCATCGCTGCAAATGTTCTACAGCTCAGAGGTAAGTTAACTTCTTACAAACTTCATTAATACCTAGTAGTAGAAATGTTTAATGTGTCAAGGGACAGATAATGATTTGCCAGATTGCTAAGATGTAGCAAAAACGTCTTCTAGTATCAAGTCAGACTTTTATTGTGATTGTTATGAAAGAATTTCAACTTTCATTGCAGATTGATCTACTGTTGTGTGGAAGCCGAAGTGAGAAATGGGATGTGAAAGGTATGTTTTCCAATTAGTATAGCAAATACCTCAATTTGCATTGAAGCTTTGCATGCTAGGGGCTTCCCAAACTAGCCTTTTTTAAGCTAGCACCTAGACTGCAAAGCCTTCCAGAGGAAATATAGATTCAAACAAGCCATTCTTGGATGGTAAACCACAATACAATATTCATGCCACATAACCTCTATCAAATATATTGATACATAGAATGCCAGTTTAATTTTTACCAGAAGCTTTTCAATATAGAGGTTTAGCACAATTGAATCAGGGGTTCAGGAAAAGGGTTAATTACTGTGAAATTTTGTGTACATATTCCAATTTTGACATTGTATGTGCCTATTGGGTGCTACTTTTTGCAATTCTTCACAGCTCATGCCAGTTCTGCAATTTTGTATATAAGCACTTTCAAGATAAAATATCTTGATAGTGATTAAGTATGTAAAGCTATGGTGTGAAGGTAATCACCTATCATATAACATCTGAAATACCGTAAATCCTCGAATTGCCCCCCCCCCACCTTGAAAAAGTCCCCCTCAAATATGCCCCCACTCTAGAACTACAAATTGTTAAAAAAAACCCTCAAATAGAGTTGTCTAGTGATGATGTCACAAAAATCTATTTTTAGAATTTTTGAAGTTTTTTTCCCATAACCTGAAAGAGCATCATGGAAAACTTCTAAATCTGCAAAATCAGTTGAAGGTATTACGGATTAGCTGAGATATGTCCAGATGGGCACAAGCTCTGGCCCCACCAAACCTCTGTAATTTGATCTCAGTTCCTAACTTTATGAACTGAGCCAAAATGACAGTAATCTGTTAGCAAACTCCAGATCTTCTATTGGCCATAGCTCACCCAATTTTGAAAAATGTAACTGATTTTCATAAATAGGAGTATTCTATGGTGTTCTTTTAAGTTATGTGGTAAAAATTCGAAAATTCTAAAATGGTTTTTTTGTGACGTCACACTTGAGATCTCCTTAAGTCCCCACTGCTACTGTAAATTCTCAAATTGGCCCTCCTTGATTTGTTGATTTTTGCCATCTGAGGTTGCCTTTGGTGTTTTATTGAATTACCTCAAAAATTCATACTTTTGGTAATAATTAATTAAATGCTAATAAAGAAATTTGTACAAAATAAACAAGGTATTTTAATAATGTCTTCTTTGTCTACAATAATTTTATAAGCCTACCCTCGTATAAGCCCCAAGCCCACATCCAAAAATATCAAAAATAAGTACGCCCACAGAGGGCTAATTCGATTATTGAGAGATTATTATATTATTGAGAATTCCTATTTGTTCTGAAAATTACATATTAACTTTCTTTGCAGAACTTATTGAGTGTTGTCGACCAGACCATGGGTACACACATGACAGGTATGCTTTAAAATCATCTATAACTGCTGTAAAAGTTCAGGATACTGCTTCAAATTGTTAACGGTTCCTGATGAGCGTAAAGAATGATGGTTCATGTGACAAAGTATCATTGGAATTTTTCCATTCAGGGACACATAGAGGTCCTTTTGGCTAATTTAATTTAAATGTAGCAATTGGTTTTCAGAGAGAAAGCATCATAGGAAATGTTTAGCTTGCATTCTTGATTTGTGCTCAATAATGAAATCTACAAGCGACCATGTGTTACAAATTTTCTCCCTATATATAGTTTCCTAGAAAAAAAGATAGGACACTTGCTTTGTTTCATTTTGATCAATCAATGTCTTCTCACTTGGATGTAGAGAGCAGGACCCTCCTGTCTGCTGAAACGTTAACTGATCTAGTACTAAGCAGAATCTAAAACTGAGCCATATTGTCTGGTTTTGAGGATAGCCTGTTTGGAATGGGCATATAGATTCTGTGTTTTTGGATTTCTGTGTGACAGAAAATAATTTTTTAGAAAAGAGTACTTGTAAATGGTAGACATCCGTAGCATTCTGTCATTGCTTAACAAATTTAATGAAGCAAATGAAGCATCAATTCTCAGTTCTCTTAAATTCCTGTTTTTTAGCCGAGCTGTACGATTCCTCTTTGACATCCTAAGTAAATATGAAGCAGAAGAACAAAGAAAGTTCTTGCAATTTATAACTGGCAGTCCACGACTGCCTGTAGGAGGTAGGTGTTTTGTTTGCACTTTTTTACCCATTTGCCAGCACATTCCATACTCGAGCAGATCTTGCTAAGAATTTTAGACAAAGGTCCTCATGCATGACAAATTTTTATGCTTAATCTTACAAGTAAATGTTGTACCAGGTTTGAGTTTCTGGCAAATTTTATTCTTATTTTGGTATTTTGAAGTTGTTTTTGACCTCAGCCATACAAGGATGAATTATTTCAAACATTTTTGGGATGGTTCTTGTTCTTGAAAAATCAGATTCTTGTTCATAATGGTACTTATTTTTTTCTTTTGTAGGATTCAGGAGTTTGAATCCCCCATTAACAATTGTACGGAAAACAGTGGATGGGGCTTTAAGTCCGGACAATTATTTACCATCTGTTATGACATGTGTTAATTACTTGAAGCTTCCTGACTATTCATCAGTTGATATAATGGATGAGAAACTGAGGACCGCATACACAGAAGGCAAAAATGCTTTCCATTTATCATAGCATGCACCGTCTTTGATGTTAGACTGAGTTTGTAACATAAAATAAGCTTAGTTCAGTTGCTTTTTATTAATTCCATTCAAGTTTGGTTTAGACCAACTTTTGCAGTGATATTTTTTGTTGATTTGTGCTCTGTTTTCAAATTTAGTATTTTGAAATTATTTGTCACTGATTTGCACAACTACTTATTGAAAAATGATATCCATTAGCAAGCTTTTTGCCTACAAGTTTGACATAATCGATACATGGCGAAAATTTCTTCAGTAATGGCTATGATATGAAATTCTAGTTATAATGCTATATTTGTCTCTATGAGATCTGTTTACAATGTTCTACTATTCCCCTCCCCTTATACTAAGAATTGTTAAGATATAGAATCTATTGAAGAGAGGTGTTATTTTGGAGATACTGTGGTAATAAGGCTTGAAAAAATAAAGTGAGGTCATATTTTTAGATTTTTTGCTGCATGCTTATTTTATGATTTGTCCTTGAATAAAGACAAAGCTTATTAAATTAAATGGAACTGGTAGTTAAGTTGTTCTATTTGCGTGAAACTAGCTTGCTTTCATAACTTAATTCAGAAGTTGTAATTAGAAATTTGCTTGGACGTATGTAGTATTATACAATAAGCTACGAGTATTGTGTTTCAGATCTTTGTTAAGTTTGATTTGATAAACAGAATTTATGTTATTTTGGTTTATCAGAGGCATAATGACACATTCCCCATTGGGAAGTGATACATGTTATTGCTTGAATGGTATCAGGTTAGCAATTTATCACTAAAGTAGACAGATGAAATTTATTCACTTTGTTCCTTGAAATACCATCCAACACTTTAGGATTTTTCAGGAAATAAAATCTCAAATACATTCTTCCCGTCCAACATTGCAAATTTGCTCACACTCTAATTAGGTATGTTGTTTGACAAAAACATCCACCAGTTTAGTTATCTCTTTAAAACGAGTCACATCATTTAAATAATACTCCAAAAACTTTGCCAAGCATCCAGTGAAATTAATTAAAAGCATCCAACTTTCTTGGTATTTCCAATATAACTGTTTGTTGTTTT